AACGCGTTTCTCCGCGAAATCGCTACTGATGTCCGTGCTCGTTTTACTCGAGGCTTTATCGCGCTTCCCGTTCGGCGAATGCGTGTTCACCGACGTATTCGTGTTCGAACTGCTGGACGTAGACGACGATGAGGACGACGAGGACGACGATGTGTCGGATGACGAGGAGCTGCTCTCCACCGAGTCGTGAGAATCATTGGCATAATTGGCGTCGATTACCGTTTCTCCGTGCTCACCCTTGAATTCGTTGACCTGTATCAGATCCACGTGGTGATCTATCACAATCGAAGCGTTGAGCTCTGCCGAATCCTTGGAGGTGGACGCAATTTTGAACTCCTTGATAGCCTCTTCCCTCGGTAAATTCTCCTTAATCACTTCGAACTCCGTTATCTCGAGTTTAGAGGACGTACATGTCCTCTGATAAGCGCTGCCAGAGGCGAGACTGTTGTGCATCAAGTGTAACGTTATGTGCGACGAGGATAAAATGGGCGACTCCTGCGTAACGCTATCCTTAGGCTTGGACACCTGCAGATCGGACTTCTGAGCTTGCTCGGAGGCGGGCTTGTAGTACGCGGAATTGTACTCGCCTCTCTTTATGATATCTCTAGTCGTCTCCTCCTTCGGAGTCAGGGCCACGCCTGGAGTTATCGGGAACTCCGGGGTGGTGATGAAACTGCGTATCTTAGAGGAGTCGTCGCTGATCTTGATAAACGGCGTGATCAGACTGCTACTCGGACTCAGTACTCTCGGTGTTGGCGGAGGCCCGGATATGTTGTCGCACTTCCTCGGTGTCTCCAGGCTTATCATGTCGGGCATTCGCAGAATGTTCTGCGTATTGTCCGTGGATAAGATTCGCGAGACCTCGGACACCTGCGAATTGATCCGTGCGACTTTCAGCGCGTTCTTTTCCCTCTCGCTGTCAGACTTCCTCACGTTGGTCGATATCGTCTTTAGTTGCGCGTATTTTTTCACGGGTTTCTTCTCGGCTACTACCGCACTGCCGCTGGCTGTGCTCGTACTATTCATTTTTGCCAGTGTCTCGCAAGTATCGGTCGATTCGGAAAGTCTATCGGACCTGTTTGCGATGGAACTTGCACTATTGACAGTGGTCTTCGTTATATTTTCTTTCTCGTTACTTTTCGGTTCCATTATTACGTCTTCTTGGGAATTCTCTTCCGATTCATCGATGACTTTCGCGTTACGCCTCCTGTTCACCTTCGATCTACCGCAACTTTTTCTTCCGTCGTTACTCTTTGCCGATCTTGTCGACGGGCTGTATTTAGCTTTCTTACATATCATGCCGTTCTTGTCCTTGATGGAATTTTTTCTCTTCCTCTTTTCCGGCTTCTTAGCCTCCGGCTCGTCTCTCTCGTCCGTCTTGTTCGATTCTATACTTTTGCGTAAATCAGCGTCCCAATTTCCCGCCACGGGCTTGGACGGCTTGTGTTGAACGATCCTATCCTCGGAGGAGGAACAAGACGCGCTGGTACTCCCGTGTGGAGACACCTCACCTATGATGACGCCAACTCCGTTATACTTGTCCCAGCCTCCCATGAGTTTGGGCGCGGGGCTTCTAGTGGCTATGGGGATCCTGCAAGACTGACTAACTTTCATCGGACTCTTCTGCTTCGGAGCGGACGCGCTGGAAAGTGACGGCGATCTGAATAACGAAGTCCTACAAACGGATTTCGAACGTTTCGCCGACGTCGACGTGAACTGGGCGTTTCCGTCCCCGTTCGTTTTCCTCGTGGAACTCGTTCTCGTAGGTGTGCTGAAGTCGAGGGCCCTTACGTGCCTGCTCCGTTTACGCGGCGTGGATAAACTCAATCTATGATTTTTGGATCTACTTTTCAACAGGGATTTCGGCGTGCGTTTAGTAATAATATCGTTCTTAGGCGACTGCGTGGTTTTGTTATTATTCGCCGCGGTGTTCGCCGCGCTCTCCATCACGGATGCTAAATCAATGTCCGAAAGATTGTGACTCTGATTGGTCTTGCAATTGAACTTTAAATACGGAGAAAGCCCGCTCTCCGACATGCTGATATTCTCCTCCAGATTGATCGTAGGCATATTCGTGCTTTCTAATGACGTTTTCGCGCTGGTCTCATTTCCATAAAGCGTTATCGACTCGCCACCCACGATCTTATCGGTCTGCACCGGTTCTGCCGGACAATTTAACACCTGCTGATCAATACTGATGATGGGTACGGGCGTGTCAGTTTTGAACGCAGCTTTTAATCGTTTGTTCACGTTACCGTTTTTCTCCGGCGGTTCTAACGATTCCACTTGGTTCGCAAGGCCGTTTGGTTCTTCTACCACGGACGGCAGTGCTTTGGCTAGCGGTAGTTTCTGCGCTATGTTTACCGCCCTTAGAAATACCGTTTCTTTAAGTCTGTTCGGATCTTTCGGGGCGATCGGGACAAAACGCGACGTGGAAGTTGACGTGATGGTCGATGAGCGGTTTATCAAAATATTATTTACCTCGTCTTTCGAACACACTATCAGTGTTGGCATAGTCATGATTTCGTGTTCCGTTATAGGCTGAATTGTATTGGACTGAACAGAACTGGACTGGTTATCGTTGGTCGTTGGCTCGCGTTTAGGTTTCGTAGGTCTCGGTCGCTTTACGGTGGATTTTTTAACTTTGGGCTGTGCACTATTTACAGATGCTGCGACATTATTAGTTTTCTGTACATTGGCCGCTGTTAAAGGTTTTGCAGCGTCATTCTTACTTGTCGTAGATATTGTTTGCATTTCCTGTTCATTATCGTCATCTACGGTTATTAGTTCTTTCGTATCAAGCGATTTTTTGTCACTGTCAGACACGCTATTGATAATATTGGCGTTTATAATGCTCAATATTGCGGCTGCGTTCTGATCTTCCAAAGCGTTCTGATCCTTCGCTTTGTCGACCTCGTCCTCGACTCTGTTGTATTGCTGTCTTGAAGAACTGCGGAGTCTGTGCTTCAAAGGCACGTCCGCCGTACCATCCTCCGCGGATACTTTAGTATCTATTACCACTGGCTCCGGTGAGCTAACGTTGCTCACACCTGCCTCCACTTGTTTCTCCTGCGCCCTGAAAACGACATTTAAAAAATGTAACATACTTAATTCACAACAAAATAGCATCGGTTCAAAAAATAAAATATATACGCACTCATTGACAGACTTCGGACTTAGCTTTCCTTCACCATCTTCCTCCGGACTCGTGTCCGTTTCTGTCTGCGGCTTAATGAACTCGTCGAGAAACTTTTCGAACACAGGATCGGCCTCTGTTGCTTCAACGATTGATTTAATAGCATTATTTAATTCGGCCATGATCGACGTGTTCCCCTCACCGACCATAGATTCGCTCAAGTTCTCGTTCATCGATAAGTCTGTAGGAATGATTGCTTTATTGATATTCTCTGCAATGCATTCTTGTAATTCTGTACGATTCAAGATTTCTTTCGTTAATATCTGGAAATAGTACAAGCAGACATTTAATGACACAACGCTCTATATAATAAATAATTTGAAGAGCAAATATTTGTAGATATGTATCGAATACACTTTTGTAAATATTATTCAATCAGCCTACACTGAGATTTTCGATAGGCACGTCGTTAGATTCGGATTCAGACTCGGGTATCTCGTAAGGAACAGTCTGGACCTCTGCACTAGTGAAACTCAATAGCTCTTCCGTACTTGTGGCTGTAGTGTACTGCTTAGGCATCGCACTAATTGCGCTGCTTTCTTCCTTTCTTTTATCATCAATGTCCATTTCGCAACTTCGTACGCTCGAGACGTCATCTGCAAAGGAAGCTGCTGATCAATTTGTCTATTAATTTATGCAATCGGTTCGACTCTTATACTTACCTGAACTTATTCGAACACTATTGTTTCTATTACGCGTGCTGATATTATTTGTACTATTATTTTTATGAAAGTCACATTGTCTGCGAGGCTCCTGCGTGAAACTGTCGTCCCTTTTCTCGACTTCATGAGCCGCGCATTCTACCTGCTTTAACAAATCAACATTTCCAGGCAGACTCTCTAACGGGGTTGTGTCAACATTGTGACAACTCGCTGCTATATTTAAACAAGAGTTTGATCAAAATCTTATACTTTGCGCTATAAACACCGCGAAAAAAAAGAAGAAACATACGTGGACTCATGATATCAGATTGTTGTACCGAGTTCAACTGGGACTTAATACTACGTTTGACACGTTCGCTATTGCTGTGGTGCCTTTTGCGCAAATTGCTTGCAGCAACAGGTGAGCCACTCGACGTTTGTGCATTACTCTGTAAAATGAGGAGAAACATTATGTCACGCAATTTAATATCAACTTCCGTTTGATCTTACAACACGCGTGTACAAACACGTACATTAATCGAGAAACTACCTATTATTTTGAGAGCTTTTGTCCACTTCTACAAATGCAGATTAACTTTAATCCCTGCTTAAACTAAGCTTTTATCTTTTTCCAATTCCCAAAACTAGAAACAGGGAGGCAAGTTAATCCGAGATTAAAGTTAACCAGCCTTGGCAGAGATGGGCATTTTAATTTTAATTTAATTGATTGCCAAGTGAAAATTACAGAGCAATGTGATATTAGAATAACGCGAAAGGTGAAGCACCAACGAAGTAGCTGCTTCAATGCCTACTCGATAGGAAGAGTAGAAACAAAAACGCAAATTGTCATGACTACAAAATGAAAACAAAAAGTAATATATATAAGTGTAATGAGCCAAGCAAGAATAAATAAATACAATAAGATTAAGAAGATTTTACAAGTAGAAGTAAGCACACAAGTGTAAATATAACGCAAGTATCCGTACACTATTCGTCGGAGAAAGCTGGTGAGGTAATGTGGAGCAGAGGCCGAGGAGCGGAAGGAGGCAAGAGAGGAAGATCTGATGGAGGAAGGTAGTTTGTTGGAGAATTTTACAGCGCAATACGAAAAGGCAGCACGAAACTTAGCAGTATGACAATTTGTCCGTATTCGGCTTTCAGTTGTGTTAAACGCGAACGATCCCCGCTACGTTTGGAATACCGTGAAGAGAGAAATGATTTGAGACAAGTTACCTGTGAAGGTACATTTATGTTTACGACAAATCGCTGGCCACGCGGCTCTTCCACTAGAAATTTGAGCTGCTCTATTAGATCCCCGCAATGCTTTAACTGCTCGCAGTCAGTGGCTTTACTTAATCGTTCTTGAACTGAAAGAGATAACACGTACATTTGGACATGTGGTCTATTCGCCTGTCTGTTCTACTGCCATTCGAATTTTATAACGGTGCAAACGGTAGCGTATTATTTACTCATAGCACTGATGGCTGAAAACTTCTCGACGACGTCCATCAACGTTAGGCCGCTGACTCGAGTGCTGAATCTCCTGCCGCAAGAAAGCACCGTGCGGCATTCTTGCAGATGCGGGGACGTCTCTAAAAACAGTTTGGCTGCTTCGGCGCACTTCTGATCCTCCAAATAACCTAGAAACGGAAACTCAAGTTAGATACAAGACCACAAAATGAATCGACTGTACGCAATTAGTGCCATCGAGCAAGAGCGACGCGAGAACCAAAGGTAGAAAAACGTTCCTTATCAGCGAATGACAAGAGATCGTTTTTCTTTGTTGTACATCTTGTCTCTCGTCAAAACTCAAACGTGTCGAGAACACAGTCGAGACAGGCGAGCCCGGAGAGAGGCGCATTGTAAAAATCTTGCTCCCTCTGTCAAGGAAAGGGCCTCGCGGCGAATACACAATTTACAACGCTCGGCGCAGCAACGTCTCCAGTGTCAGAAATAGAGTCTACTCGCACCCTGGCGATGAGAGGCCACATCGCGCGAAAGAATTCAACGACACGCGAAGAATATATCCCTCCGGCAGATGCGGCGAACCCGATCGCGGCGAACGTCGCTGCTCGGCCCGCGACGAAGCCACCGCGGGTGACGCGGGGCACGGCGTTCCCGCGGGAAAGGTTACGCGCGCTGGCGGCTTCCCGGAGCCGGGGAGCCTCCCCGTCGGTCTTACCGAGCACCAGTCGCGCGATCTCCGAAGGCAGCAGGGCTTCCATGGTTGCGCCGGATGCACCTCGCGCGAAGAAACCTCATCGAGGACCGCGTCGAAGACGGCCCGTGGCGAACGACGCGCTTTGCCCGGACGCGCTACTGCGTCTCAACACTGGCAACAAATGGCAAACATTTGCAGCGGCATTGCTACCAACGTGTGGTTTCCCCGTGCCCTGGCCTTTTTTTTCAAATTTCGCCGAGCTCCGAGAGAAAGAGAGGCGAGCGGATCCCACGCGGTTTTCTACCGCTCGGCGCGGAACGAAAGCCCCTCGCGTTCTGCCGCGACGATCCGTCGCGGTTGTTCGCGTCGGGCGCACGTTAAATTACGCCCGCCTGGAAATCTCGGACTCGCGCTCCCGCTCGCACGCCGCGTTCACGGGACTCGTCGCGCGCCGTCGAGGACCAACGGGGACGCGCGGGGAGCGACGGCGTTGCGGCACGAAGGGAGGTTCCTCCGTTTTTTGAACTTATATTTCGCGGCTGCATTCAAATCTTCCACCCACGACATCGCCATTTTTACGATTGGCATAGGACGCGGCCCCGCCGTGTCACTCGTACGAGAGAGGCCGACACAGCTGGCCGGGGTCGCGCGGCTCGCGGAAATGGAAAGATCGTGAGTCTGCGCCCTCTCGGAAAATGTCGCGACCGGCGAGTCGAGGGGGGGATATCGAGAGAGAACGTCTGTGTATGTCGACGGTCTGCACACAAGCCGGGAATGTTTATCGGAGAATTAGGCAGGACGATTCTGTCAAGTGTTTCTTGACGTGGCAATTCCCTTCGGTCGCCGCCAATTTTCCCGCACGGGCTGTAACTGCGCTTCCAAAATTGTGCCGCTGTATCTTTTACACCTGCTACTGGGATACTTGGTTACCAGGTTGTGGCTTGTCACATGTGAATCAAGGATTTCTGTTTCCGCACTCGAGATACGGTATGAATTTTCAGTAATTAAGAGATAACGGAGGAAGGAAATTGTCGACAGACGCGTATAGTGGAGCAATTGATCGACACGTTCTGATGTTCTTCTCTGCTTTGTGCAATTTGAAAAGAAAAACTTGCGAAGAGCGTCGTAGTCGAGTTGGATAGATGTAAAGAATTGTAACACAGCTTATAACGTGTCACAAGTCAGATGTAAAGGAAGATCTTCTGCTTCCACAGTTAAGATACAGTATAAGTTTCAGTAGTTGAGAAATAGAGGAAGAACATTGTTGACAGAT